AATTACATTGAAGATACACGTATTTTTTCGATTCATATTGCTCTCAATTAAAAACATACAAATTTACAAATAATTATAGCATATGCTGTATAACATGATCGTTCATGTACTTCTGCTTCGGCAGAGAAATTTGCCTATTTAAGGATTTTGCAGAGAACTGGAGGGGCTCGGACGTATGAGAGCACAGTGTTTGTTAATATCGTTACGTCCAGTTTTCGCTGACGAGACTTCACGCGACATCTGTTCCTCCTCCGTCGCATGGCAGCGGTTTCTGTTAACGAGATTTTCGAGTGTGCCGCCTAGTAGTTGACATCGAACGTACACCGTTAATTCTTCTTTATTAAAAAATAAATCGCCACGCGGTGTTTGATCGATGATCGTCTGAGTTCGGATGTTCACGATGTTCGTCACATAATTCGCATCAGGGGAACAACGGAATGTCCCATGGACACTCCCTATTTCAATTTTGCTTGACAGGCCTACATACGTGTCACAGACAGCGGTGCGTCATCTGTTAGCCTCTGACCCTGAGACTTTGGTACGGCTGTTTCAAGATGTTTTTCTGAAAGAGAACTTCCTCCAGGATGTAATAGAAAACTTCTGTTGGCAATCTTCGCCGGCTAAATTGTCTCAGAAGACAAATTATACCACGTCCAAAAAAATTTCATTGTTTAATTCGATTATAATTATTTTATTGAAACATTGGTTCTTTCCCTCAAATATGAAGGATTTTTTTCTCCGAAATCTTACCAATAATTTGTTATTAGAAGTGATAAAACAATCATGATCACAGTGAGATTGATACAGGATCTGTTCTTTCCTTTGCCAGTAGTATAACCGTATAGCTGAACCGACGGTTTCTTATTTACACAGTTCTCTAATAAACGTACATGTTCTGCTTTCTTGCTTGTCGCCTATGATTTTCAAGTACAGTGCTCTTCGCTGTCTCGACAAAGAAACGTTGTTCGACACTGTCTGCCGATATTTTTCACGTGGAAAAAGTTGGGCGGTATGCGGCACCTTGACTCCCAGCGCAGCATAAGAAATCAGGGTACCGGAACGCTGTATGTTTTCGAGAGTGTCGCGTTGAATAATGCATGAGCTGATCGAGTAAGTTTTCATACTTTACAACGGTTACCTAGCTCGGCGTACCTACCGGTAATGAACGATATTAGGCGGTGGGACAAGGCACGACGTCGACGCGCCGCTGCCACGTTCGTCTCGCTTATAAGGAAATATTTCATAGTTGGAAAAGTTATTCGTGGCGACTTTAACCGGGAATTTATCTTGCATTCTTCGAGCGCAGCGCGTTTTTCTACGCAGAAAGAATAAAAAAGGGCCGGGTTTCGTTGCTAGATAAGACAGTAAGGGTGTCCTCCCGCTCGTTCCTCTTTTCAATTACCTTTTAATTGGATTCGTAGGAAAAGACGCGGACGGTAGTGATTATTCGAGCGGAACTCGAGTTTCTTGGAGAGGATCGTTGAGAGATATCGCTGTTGCCTTGTCGATGCACCCGCTTTATTCATTTTCCGTACCGGAGAAGATAACGTTCTGGGTTTGTCTTTCACAGCAACTAAAGAATCGAATACAGTGAAAGCTTGTGCCAATTTATGTACAAATAAGTAAAAAATTCTTGTATACTTCGTCTGGTAATCATAAATGCTACACAAAATTTCTCCTTCATTAAACGAAAACCGTGTTTATGTTAATATCAAGAGAACGCGATAGTACGTATCTCACATAACAGATTATAGCAGTTCGTCGAAACATTGGTGCTCGTCGACTCTGCGTTTTAGCTTTCGTTACGAGCGTGCGTATTATTGTTTTAAAGCTAAATTTTCTATGATTTCGCCTTGTCCCGTCGTCGCTGGCGCTCATTAATTACTCGCGACTTATCTGAAACAACATGTACCCAGAGCGAGCCCGACGAAAATACGATTAAGCGTGTACCCACGCCGCTGATATTACGCTATACGAGCAAAGTTAATATCATAATGACGCGTTAAAAAGGGACGGACTTTGGACTGGATGATAATTTTCTCTTTACGACATAAGATGAATTTAAATTTAAATAGACGTAATTAATGCTAGGTAATAGGATTAAACAAGTTTTATTTGGGTAACAATTTAAAGTAGCGAGATTTTTATATCGTAATCAAAATATGTATAATGTTCGCAAATGATTTCTGAAAGAGTTATAATTCAATTGTTTTTATAATCGTATGTAATCAAGGGAAACATAATAAAACAATCGAAATAATTCCTCAGCCTGTCAAGCAGATTAAGTATGAAATTCTCAGTTTTTTCACTGAATTACAAAATCGTTCTTATTCTTTGGTTTCCTGAGCATTAATAACGATTATGCTCGCACGTCGATAAAAACAGACGGAGACAGGTAAATAAAATAGAGAAAAAGTACGGTTGAAAGCTCAGACGATTAAAATGAACGAGACAGTAGACGTTCAGGATATCATTTTTCCAACGCGGACGATAACATTCGAAATAGTTAGGGATTGACCGGTTGGATATCTATTGAAATTCCCGTGGCTCCTGTTTCACCGGATCAAATCCTACGGGTTTTCCGTCCGTTACCACCGTTGCAGTTGGCACGGAAATATGACGGCCTATTGGCTGCTGCCTCTTCAGCGAATTGGAGCGTAGTGCCCTCGGTTAACGCGTACCGTTGCTTCACGTCGACCTATCTACGGTTTTTACCTCTCTCGGTTCGACGCCATCGATATCTCTTTTGTTCGGGGAAAAGTATGGAAGGACGTCCGATCCGCGCGAAAGGAATTAAACGAAGTTAACGTGGCTCGAAATCGAGAACGAGGTGTGAAATGTTCGGCCCGGTGCCAGATTCGACCGAACGCGACGCTTTTCAAGCTTCAGATATCCGTTTGCGAAAATATCACTCAGTTTAATATCTACTTTGATTGATTCGTACGCTTTGATTAGGTTCGTGCATATGAAATGCCATTTTATGTAACTTACACGCAATTATGAAATATTGAAATTCAAAGTTTCGAATAACGCAGGCTATCCAGGAATATTCTAGTGTAATCTGATTCATATACTTAACAGATATTAATTTTCCAGACGTGTTCATATCATTTTTTTATAATAAAGATGAAAAATTAATAATTCCTACGTGAATGTAATTTAATGACAAGGCAGTGGCTGAAGAGTCTGTATAGACAATGTCTTTTTAGTAATGTGCATGGGAGAGATTCTACTGTACTAAAATTCGAAATAACTCGGTACTCTCCGTCAGTTAACAGGCATGTCAAAATAACGGCTTGTCGCTCTTCGCGACAATGAAGGCGAAGCACAGTCCTGTGAAATTTGAAGAGACTCTACGTACATTATCGTCCATAAATTATCCTGATTTTAGACACAAGTCTAACAGGTTTATATTTCATTAATGATTATAGTTAGTTATATTAACTGAAAAAATGTATTAATAAATACTGTCAGTTTAGGTTGCAACAGTTGACATTTATTTTTAAATGTTCCAAACAAGTACATTAATTAATGAAAACGAAATTTGAAAATGAACATTGATTTAATATTTCGATACAGTATATTAAATTAATGATATATGTACGTTTTATATCCTTTTCTTTTGCATGTACAATACGCATGCACGTATTACAATCTGAAATTGATTTATTATTAAACTACAGATTTGTGAGCTGCCCGAATACTTGTGATCGTTAATGTACTACTTGTCGCTGTTCGACCCATAAATCGCGGCACCATTTTCACGTAGCATTAGCGAAGTTCGTTTCACGCGTGGCGAAGTCGCTATTATGTATCCGACTTTCCGGCGTAGAATGCTTCCTGTCTTTAGGTATGCTGTATATATTTACATAATGACGAGACGCATCACCATATATTATATCGGACGAACGTCCACCCGCTCGTCCGTTCCCATATTTTCGTGCTTTGCCTATTTGATCCAAGGCTTCTTCTCGAGCCTTGCTTTCTCGTGCGTGTTACGTACGTATGTAGTAACGTGTGAGAGTTTTCCCTGCCACCCGGTGGCACGGAAGTAACGCACGATCGATTACGCCACGAGCTTATAAATAACTTCGTTTGCGGTCAGACGGAATTAACGGAATCCTTCGAAGAATACCTGAAAGTATGAGAAAAAAATTAATGAACCGCTGATATTTTTCGTAGAAATCTAATCTTAAGCTTTTATATGATTGTTTTATTATACAAAACATGTTATTACTTTCACAAACGTGAACACTTAGAGCTTGTTAAGGAAATAACATATTCATTTGTTTCATCCATTAGCAAATATCAAATAATTAAAAGAATATAATAGAGGCTTACTTTCTCAAAGCTTAAGACCGATTTATAGTTTTAAACATTTTAGTTGATGGAAAAATGAAACAGCAATGAGACTACGGTACCATTACATAAATAACGAATTGTTTTAAGGAGAAAGAGAATAGCAATAAAAAAGTTATGAATCCCACGTGGTTTAATTGTCTAAAAAGTCTGCAAATGAAGCGTAATTAACGCAACTTCAGGTTCTAATGGGTTAAGGTTAAGCTAAACGGGTAACCAGCTCACGACGAGTGGAAAAAAACGGATTACTGCGATTAGCGGAGTAATCTGACCGGGCTCGGTCCAGATCTGGTTAAGTCAACGACGCATTAACTACCGAGGCAACGTAACGC